TTCGGCCCACCCCTTGCTTTTGAAATTTTGAACGCGGTCAAGCTTTTTATTATTATTATTTCAGTTTTAAATTTATAAAATATATTTTTAGCCTCTCGATTTATAAAATGATTATATTAATAAATTAAGACTTAGAGCATGTTTCTTCAACATTTAATTACATAGTTAACATTTAAATTTGTTGAGTCAGCAAGCAGACGGTATTAAAAACATACTTTATAAACTTAAAAAATTAAAGTGAAAATTGATCGAAATTTAGAAGACCAAACATATAATTTGTCCTAAATACTTCTATTAAAAATTGCCTTTTTTTTTACCATGTATTAAAAATCGCCTTGATATATATAGGGAAATGAAAAATAATAAATGACGAATCATTAGAATAAATAATACTACTTTCTATTTTACTTACATACTGTATAATAAACACTAAGAAATTTATAAGTAGCCTAAAATTTTTCAAATAAGCAGTGGTATCTTGATTTTTATCCAAAAAAAAATCCGTACTTATAGTGTTGTCTGGACTTAAAACCAGCCGGAAAAAAAAAACCAGAGAACCGGTCAAATTATTTTTTCAAAAAAACATTTCAACAATCCAAAACTATGTTGTTTTATGTTTTTATTTTTGGTTTTTCTTTCGTGTTATATATATGGGCAATATTTATAATAAGTTTCACATATCTATTATGTCAAGTTTTCAATCTTACATGATCAAATGTCTCATTTTTTAAATATTAGAATTTAAATTCAAATCCATATGAAATTAAAAAAAAAAAAACACAACTACGTATGATTGGATAACTTAACATAAACATATAAGAAATTTAACCTAAGTTTTTTCTCGTGTATATCTATTGCTTTTAGTTGACTAAAAAATCTTGCGCTGACTTATAAAAAATAATTTTTATGAGTTAAAGGACTCTTAATTTATTTTCTCAAGAGTAACAAATATTCTCAAATTATGTTTGACCAAAACCCTACACTTGACATCCACGTGGCGCTCAACCTTCACAAGAACCCCTCACGATGATTCGTGGGGCGAACAGGCGATCCCATCTCATCATCGTCTTCAATATCGGCGCCCCTCCCATGATCAGAACTTTCAGTAATAATATCACTTAAAATATGCCCAAAAAAATATTTTAATACTTTTTTAATAAAATAATGGTTTGAAAAAAAGAAGAAGGACAAAACATTATGTGGTTATAAGAAAGAAACATAATTGCCACAAAGTTTCATGACAAATAAATAGCAAGTTTCAATGGAGAAAATCATAATAATGTTCATACTGTTTACTTGTTATTATTAATATTTTTTTGTGAATATATTTTTTTTCTAGAGATCTCATAATGATTTTTCTTATAAAAAGTTATTGATGCAACTTCCTACATTCATTTGTCATGACCATATGATATGGGGTGCATATAAGGCTTGATTGGAGTAACACTTGTTAAAATGACCTTTGTTTTGATTAATTTTTGCAAATTGAAATTGCTTTAACTTTAAAATTGCCTTTTGGGTAAAAATTTTTACCCCCTAAATTTATGCCAATAATCATTTTATACTTAAATAAAATTTTTATGTTGAAAAAGTCAATTTTGCCATTGTTTTGTTCGTGCTGCATTTTTATACCTCATTATTTTTAGGCGTAATTATACTTTTCCTCAGTTTTTAATTTGATATATGTGTGTGTTTTCTTTTAATTAAAATTTTAATTTTACTCTTACCACTGTTGGTACTTTTACAGGGGGTTAGCCAAAAAAAAAAACTTTTATAGGGGCCAAAGATACCAACAGAGTAAAATTACAAGACTAATAATGCTAACGAGCGAAATTAAGAGCTTTGATTAAGAGAAAAAATATATAGATATCTAATTAAAAATTAAAAAATGATTTTTTTCCCTTTAATATTTACATAGAACGGCTGTTAAAGTTATAAATTCTACTATTATATTAATAAAAATAGATTATATGTCCCATTATCAATCTCTTTTTTTGGCCACCCCGTGTCACATGATCATTCAAATGAATGCATAAAATCAAGCTAACATTAATGATTGTTGGCAAAAATAATTTACATTAATGATTAAGGGGATTCACGTTGTTGGCAGGAAAAAAAACAAAAAGGATTGACACTAATAAGGCTCTCTTTGTGAAAGAGTTTATATGCCCGCATAGTGAGGTTGAATGATCAAATAGGTGGCATATAAAATTTGTGGTGGTTGGATTCATGATTTGATAATGTGACTTTTATATTAAAAGCCACTTTAAGTCAAAAGTAGAAGTTGGGTACTTATGGCTTTTGGTTTTTGAAAAGTTAAAAAAATTAGTTTTCACTTTTAAGAAATTTACTAGTGTATCTGATTCTTGCTATAAGATTCAAATAACTAATTTGTGAATAATAAAAAATTAGTCAAAATTAATTAAAAGTGATAAACAAGTTATAAATATATTCCTTCCGATCTATAATATATGTCATTTTAACTTATTCGTCAATGTCAAAAAATGATAGTTGATTCATTAAATATGATTGAAATTGAAATTGCAAATTTTTTTTCCAGTTTTACCCATATTAAATGAAATTGTGAATAAGAGAGAAAAATACAAAGAGTCATGTTTAAGCATTAATTGTAGGGATAAAATTGATAAATGAGCATTAATTACTACTTAGGTGACTTATATTTTAGACTAAGTCATTCTTCTAGAAGTGACTTTAATAATGGACCAAAGGGAGTACTTTTGATTTCAAATATTTTTATAACAAATGAGATAAATGATTAAACAAAAAGAAAATATAACTAGAGAGTATAGCATAAGAGAGAGAATAAAATATATATTGTTTCGTTAATTTTTTTTTTTGTTATTTTACAACCAAACTTATTTTTTTAATAATAATCTAAACAACTCTATTTTTATAAACTGATTTATTTATAAAATTCAATCCAAACACAAATTACATCAATCAATTTAGCTTTTTCAAAAACCAAATTATGAATAAGCTACTTTTTCTGTTGTTAGTACAAACGGATGCTAAGACATGGCATAATGTGGGTGGCCTAATAAAAAAAAAAAAGATATGACATAATGTGGGGCGTAGTGTGGTTAGTTGTTAATTTCCATTATCTACATGATCTTAACATTGTTCCACACCTAATTAACTTCAAATTATTCTTTTAATGAGACAAAGTGAGAATAAACAAATCATGGCGATAATTATGTCCCCTAAAGTAATTATGGAACATGATGAATGTGCTTAAAAGAAATCATATTTTTATTATGATATCCAAGTTCCTAATCCATTATAGGGTTTGGATTCTCTCCTACCATTGAATAAAAAAAATGAATGGTTGAGATTTAATATTTTATAAGATCATTTTTTCTGTTTTTCAAATGCAACCATTTCCAACATTTGCAGCTCTTTTTTAATTATATATAACCTAATATCAATTATATGTAAAAATCTAAAAATCTTCAAGAGGAAAGTCATTTGTATATGTATATTTGAAAAAAATTGCACTTGCTCAAATTGATGAAATCAATTTTTTTGGGTATAATTTTAAGTATTTTCAAGTTACTTTGAATTTGAGATTAATTTCTGTCGGACTAAGAGTGTTAAAGTTAAAGTCCTTCTAACAAGTACGCTTCTTGATATTCGAATTTCTGTTTTTCTCTTTAAAAGGTAAAACTGCTTACCATCTGAATCAGTAACTTATTGGTATTGATTGGTATTGATGAAGTCATATTTAAAATCAAGAAAATAGTATAAATTCAAATGTTGAAAATCATATCTCATTATGGAAATCTACTTCTCCATTCAAAATCGAGTTGGTTTTATTTCTCTGCTTTCTTGATCGGCAACAAAACTACTCCCTTGTGAATATATGAGTGTGTGTGTGTTAGGGAGTGAACTTGAAACAAAGCTTCTACACTTGTGTTGAATCTAAACTCATTTGTACATTTCTCTCAGCAGAAAAAATATGCTTCCTTTTCGTCCTCAATATAAGGTGAGTTCTTCCAGTATGTTTCGAACTTCTTATCAAACATGAAAGTGACAGGCTCATTATTCTCTGATATTACAGTCCTGTATCTTTCAAAGCTGTTCCCCAGTATGGCTAGGTTCCTTAATAGACTCAAATTCCTTAAAATTACCAAGCATTTGAGAAATCGTTCGCTGATATTAATTTATGATCCCAAAGAGCCAAAATGAATAATAACCCAAGAGATTATTAAGGGCGAATTTATTTGATTTTTCTTTTGGAAAAAGTGATTTTAGTTACAGGTGCTCTCCTACAAATTATAGTAGATAACGACGCGCACAAAAAAAAAAGAGAGAGAGAGGGAGAGAGAACAGAGAGAGATAGTCAGAAAGTGGTTGAGTTGCAACTAATAGTCTGTTTAACTAGTAGTCTCTTTGTATAGAGATGAGCAGGGCTCTTTTGGTTTCTTGTCTTGAGAGCAACCTTTTTTCTTTTTCAATAGAAACAATGAAACAAAAACTGTTGTTTGAAATTTGTTTTTAGTTGATTGCTTTTGGGGAAAAAAATACAATAATATGCTCTTAAAAATTAAAAAATCAAAACTACTTTTAAATATTTTCTTATTTTTTTGTATTTTTATAATTTTTGTTTTGAAAAATTAGGAAAACTTTTTTTCTCTTCTTGCCTATCACTCACCACATATCATAAGGTGACCGCAACCACTAGCCAAATGTGATTTTTTTATATTTTCTTAAATGTGATTTTTAAATAATTATCCAAACATTTTTTTTTAATTCTCAAGACCTGTTTTTTCAGGTCCCTATTTCACCTAATTTTTAATCAAATCTTTATAGCATGTAATCATTTTTTTAAATCAGTCACATGAAACTACAAAGGCTTAAAAATTAGGTAAAACTAAAGTAAAATGGTTATAAAACAGGGTTAAAAAAAACAATGATGATCTGATTATAAATAGGTAAATCTATAGAAACCTTACAAAAAGAAAAAAATTATTGGGATTAGATTAAAAATCAGTTGGACTTGCAAATTAATTATTTCTATATATAGTTTTACCACATAGCCAATCGGCCACTTAATCACAATGACACAGTAAAACGTTTTGCGATTATTCTTCGTTCGCAGCATTCATGTAGTCAATAAAGCCATGAAGCCATAATGTTGTGTATTTGCCTGATTCACCAACTTCTATGAATTTACAAACTTATACCACTTATGTATACAATTAAAACAAGAATAATGATTCTAAACGTAATTCCTACACCATTTTTAAAGCAAGGAATCGGATATCAAAATTGGATTACGAAGATCTATCTGAAGGTGGAATGAGATATCACTCTCTACACAGTCCCATCTTCGGACGCATTCACATCTTTCCAACTGCCCAATCTGACAATGTCTTCTACAAAAATTTTCCCATCTGCATCAACACAAAATGAATGCAGTTATGCTTTACTAATGAGCTAGTTTATGAATCAGTTTTAGTTCTGGTCAAACGACTCAACAACACAGCTGTCATATACACGTTGGACTGAGCCTCAGAATGGCTCATGTGTAAGTACCCTCATCATATACTCAACAAGATTCAGAAAGCATCTATTTCATTATATCATGGTCTTCTGGCACCCAAGACCCTATCCAGAGATAATTAGTGAAGAAAGAAAAAGATAATTAAAATGTGTTAAAGAAATTAGTCTCATGTCCTTGCTAAAATAAACTATTGAATAATAACAAGAACTTAACAGATGTGATCTCATCTCATTGCTTGTGCAATAAAGAGATTCGTTTTTCATTCCCATACCAAAGAGGCCAGAAGGCAAGGTGATGCAGGAGCCCAGTGCTTTGGGTGGCCTAAGGCAAGTGGGGTGAATGGCGGGGGTGTTTTTCGTCCCAATTTAGGAGTTAATAGACATGTATTAGTTTTAAAGGTCAAAATGTAAGAACAATATTTATTTAGTTCAGAGCCCCACCCCCGCGTAGATAGTTTTAAGATCTTTTTATTATTTTATTGCTATTTTTTATTAGGGCCAATAGTAATACTCCATTGGTCCTTACAGTTTGACATTAACCTATTTATGTATACTCCTGCCAAGTGAATAAACAAGAATTTCCCGCATATTCTTCCTCACCTGGTCTCGAACACCGGGTTGGGGTGGAGGGAGTTCATCTTTCTTCATTTTTTCTGTGTTGTGAGAGTGAAATCTGTCTATGAGCTTCGTTAAAGTGTTTCTTTAGTTTCATCGTTTCCCGTAGCTTATTTTCCGAGTCAGTTTTATTTCTGCTGTGAGTCTCTCTATTTCAACTATCAGGATATTTAATATAAATTCAGAATTAGATTATTATCATTTAGCTTGGGCTCCATTATAATGAAAGAACTCAAGTCTCTCCAAATTATGGCAAATCCTATGCCCCAAAATGCAAACAGAGGAAGACTATAGTTGAGCCCCTGGGGATAGCGAGACTGGCCACTAGATGGCCACCTCTCTCGTACAGGGGAAATTTCATGATATATCCATGACAATCTATTCCTAGTAAATGCAGAAAGAGCAGCATTTTTCCCCTTTCCTTTTTTTTCTTTTCGGCTTTTGGTCTTTAACTTCTAAAAATGCATGAGAACAGACAACGGATGGAATCAGTGAACAATACAAGAACAAGATGACAGACCTCTATCTTTAGAAAGATTGCTTATGAGTTCTTGAATTCCCTCTTTGCCCAAAGTATCCTTCAAGTAAATTGCAGCTGCGGCTACCTCATCAGGAGTCACTTTCCCATCATAATCTCTGCCAAATAGTCAAATAATAATACTGACGATAATCACCGCATTGAAACCATTCAACTATTAACAATAAAAGATTGGAGAGCAAAATCATTAACACGTAGTTCAAAAAGTCCATTTTCCAGCCAATTTTAAACTTATTTGTCTTCAACGATGGACCTTAAAACCAGCCTTGCCCCAAAATAAAAGAAGGGTTAGCCAAATCAAAATATTGTTCACCAACCATGAACAATGCATCATTTCAGGCTCTGAGCAAATGCCCGAGACCTTTAGTTTATAAGGATCCTATTAAAATGGTTGAAAATCCTAAGAACTTCTGTAGTAGAATTGTGGAATTCAGGTTAAAAAATAAACCTAAAAAAAAAAAAAAGAAACTAAAAAGAATCACGGAAGAATTTAAGCTCTTCTGCACTTTCAAAACAAGGCATTTTCTATGAGAACGTGAGAGAGGCAGAGAGTACACATAGAGCCGACTTTTTCTTTTTCTGCTTACCTCTCTGTTCGCTAATTTCTTTCACATAAAATGAAAAATTCAATTTAACGCTTAATTTGAAAGGATCTGCTCCCTACTTAGTGAGGTCAAAGGGCCAGATGGCTCAAAATATGACAAGTTTGGAAGATGACAACCTTATCAAGAGGGGTGAAACCATTCTCTCTCGAGAAATAGATACCCTCAACATTAACAAGGCCTTATTATCGTAATGAGAACAGAAATTTTATTGTTGTGAAAGGGGAATAACATCCTGTTATGAAATGACAGAAATTATTGGATGAACTAGGTAAGAGGATATAAATAATTCTTTTCTAGTACGATAAAGAGAACTTGTCGCAAAATGCAAATCAACTTATTAAAGGTTTCTAATTTTTCTATAAATAGAAGCTAAAAATTCTTGTTAAAGGGGCGGAAAAATTCTACCAGAAGCCTAAAGAATCCAAGAACCATTACATGTTCCCACAAGCACAGAAAATCAGTGCCAGCCGTGATTATGGCCTTAGAGAAGGCAACACAACTTGGAGGATTATGTCAATAAAAGAAGAAAGAAGAAATACAGTATACACATGGTATCAGGGCCTTTATGACCATGAGATCAAAAGTTTCTTACTTGCAACTTCCACTATTTTAAACAAATTAATTTCCATGCAACAAATATTCCTTAATTTTAAACAAATTAAGTTTCATATTTGCAAGATTAATAAGCTTAACATCCAACTTTCGAGCTCACAGCTTGTTAAGAGTTTGAATACGGCTCATCTTATTTGTAAATAAATCAGCTTGATCAACATGTGAGAGCTCCCATGGTTAAACAGTGAGAGTTAAATAGTTCATAAACAAATCAATCCAGTCACACTTCTAAGCATACGGTTAGCCTGTGTGTTATCCACACTTCAAGCAAAGGAATATTACAAATATTAACAGAGACATTCATGAATGGGTAAACCTTCTCTTAACAATTCAAGATTTTGGGTTAGACAAAAGCAACCAATAGAAGGCGCACGATTAAAGGGCAGTACAAACCTATCAAGCAGTCTCCAACGATCACCTATTTTTGCATCAACATCATCTATTTCCTTCTCAAGATTTTGGAGCATAGCATCAACCTGAAAGGAATTTTGTCGATTACAAAATCATGACCCATTGGTTTTAACAATTTTTCAGGACAAAAAATGATATGTGGACATTACTCTCTCTATGAGTGCCGAGGACACCTTGTCCTGTTCATCCAACTCTGTAGTATGCTCATTTTCCTCTCTTGCGGCCTTATATGCCTTAAAGGCATCTCTTCCATCAGTTGCACCATCTTTTCCTACCATGCTGTTATAAAGTTCTATCTGGAATCATACAAATCAAAAGTACGGACTAAGTTCAGTAAGGTCCCATATGGATTGAGATACAAATTTTCAAATGGACCATATTTAATTACAAATTTTCAAGTAGAGAGGTTGCCATCCAACTTAACCAAAGAATTCCCAAAAGACATCATGATAATACAATTGTTGAACATAATCTATCAAAGTCCATTCCAAGGCTTGACAAGTGTCTTGTGAATGAAAAGGATAGGGGGAGAATTGAACTCAAAGGGATGAATGATGGAGGCATTTACAAGATTCGGAATCAGTCACATGCAACTTTGGTGGCTTCACTGGTGAATAAAACTTGCAACACAACTTCAGCCAAGCAACTATGGCATAGAAGATTGGTTCATCCTGCTTCTACGATCATAAATGTTGTATTGAAATAGTGTAAATAGAAATTTGATGAAAATGAGTTAAATTTTCTCACTCTTATCATTCCAGGTAATGGTGATAAGGGTATTCTTCAACTCAACCAGAAATTGTTCCACTCTTTTCAACCCACGGATATCAAAAAAATGATGGGAATTAAAGTTGCTCAATCTTGAACAAAGGTCGCTATATCACAAAGAAAATATGCCTTAGACATACTGGTTGAAACAGAATTGTTATCATGTAAACTAGTCGATGCTTCCATGGACAATACCAAATAGGGGTTGCCTCTTGCAAATCCAGGAAGATACCGATGATTCATTCAAAAACTCAACTACCTTAGCATTACTGATCCAAATATCTCCTTTACTATAAATGTAGTAAGTCAATTCTTACAATCTCCATATGATGCCCACTGGGATGTCATAGTTCATATCCAGAGACATCAAATGGACTGTAGGGCAAGGTTTGTTATATGAAGATAAGGGTAACATTCAGGTTGTTGGTTGTAGTTCTGCACACTAGGCTGACTCTCCTATTGATTAACATACAGTGCCTTCGTCAGGGGTAACCTAATTGCAAAAGTAGGAAACAAAATGTCATCAAATCTAATGCTGTAGCATAATATCATGCCATGGATCTCACAACATGTGAACTTATAAGGCTGAAACAACTTCAAGATTTGAGATTCGGAAGTATCAAACAGATAAGATTGATTTGTGAAAATCAAGTAGCCATGCATATCTCTTCTAATCCAATATTACATGAAAGAACCAAACATGTTGAGAATGATTGCCATTTGTGAGAGAGAAGATTCAATTTGGGTCCATTCCTACCAAGTTTGTCAATTCAAATGATTAACTAATACACAAAGTCAATAAGTCTCTCCAGGACCCTCAAATCAACTAGATATATAATAAATTGGATGCATATGATTTATATGCTCGAGCTTAAGGGCAGATTTTCCTTGGTGAGGGACAACATTTACTATAAAGTTGATATATCCTTTACGACTTATATAGAAAGAACCACTATACGACTCATGCTTTTCCTGAAACTCTGAACTCGCAAGTTTTCTCTCTCGAACTTGCTACTCAAAATCATGTGGAAACTCCAGCATACCCCAACAAAAAAAAAAACCAAAAAAAAAAAAACACACAAAAAAAGAAGAAAGACAGAATATTGAGGGCAGGGTGTGAAAGATGTAAAAACATACTAAATAATAGAGGTTCCACCATACCTCTTTATTAACAAGCCTCAAAAACTCTTCACGCTCTCTGCTTACTGACTGCCATCAGAACACAAGAAAAACACACAAATATAAGTAGGTATCATAAATGAGAAAATGCAGTTAATCATGTTGAGACAATCAAAAGCTTTTGAACACATTCTCACAGATGCTGAAGCTAAAACAGCCAATGCACGACTGAGTTCACAGAGCTGCTCCTGCTTTTCCGATGCCCTAGCTCTAGCAAGTTGATGTGCTTCTGAAGCTGTGGAAACATTTATCTCTTTCAAGGCCATATTGTCTTGACCAGAATTGGACTCCATTTTTGCTTGCTCCACCTCTTCTCTTTCTTCCTCCTCCTACATTGTTGGAAACTCATATTTGTTCAAAGCTGAGTCACTTAAATGTTCATTACTACCAAGATTTTAAAGCTAGAAAAAAACCTTGAGGGGAACTCTTTTCACCTCAAATGGTCAAACTGAGGCTTTAACCTAATTAATTAGTGTAAGACAATGCTTCTGCACCTTAAATGCTCGATATTTATTGACAGATTAATTTGAGCCGTTTTTTTTTTTTTTGCCAGAATCATTTGAGCAATATTGGAAACTAAAGGTGTCAAAATATTATTGACTGTTAATTATTGAACAACAATTGATTGGAATCAAAGAATAATTCAGTATATTGAAAGAATTTTATATCTTTTGGATATCAGCGCATGCTAACTATTTTTTTTAATAACTACTGATGGGCAAATTAATGCAATATCAGTAACTGAGCAAACAGAGAAACGCTGATATTTTAATGCAACAATCGAAGCTTCAAATCAAGCAAGTGAAGGGACCAAAAAAAAAGTCTTATATACACCTTAATAAGTTCTTCCTGCATTTCAAGGAACTCCAATTTCCTCCTCCTTTCTGAGACTGAATCCCCAGAGGGTAAAGAGGTAACACCAACAGTATCTACCACTTCATCAGGAAGAGAAGAAAGTGTAGCCTGAACAGCTTCTTCTGGCTTCAACCTTCCAGACACAGTAAATGCCCTGTGAAGAGTATAATGCAAGACTTCAGGATGCATATGCTTTGTAGGGTTTTACTAATTATCATTTCTTTTCAGTGGAGAAGCCTTAAAATTACCTAGAAAGTAACAAAAGAGATGACGGTACAGAGTGATTCAGTGATAAATCCAACCAATCCCGAAGCTACATGAGAACAATAACAACTTAATAGTGAGGTTTATACTCAATCGAAAAGGAAGCACAAATTTTTCATGACAAAAAACCTGCTGGCGCATTTCTTCAACAGAAAGCAAACCAAGCATGCCTCGCTCTCTACAATCTTCACGGAGTTCAGCTTCTGAAAGGGAATCCACACCTTCTGCTTGAATCAACATATCATCTTCCTTAATCCTAAACCAAAACAAAAAGAAAAGAACATGTTGCATGTAATACATACTATCATGGAGTCTCATGGGCTTTTACTCAGACTTAACATCGACACTAAAGAAGGTAAAATAGTGAACTATTCAGATGCATTATTGTCACTTGAAATTGTAAGAATAATCTTAAACTACCAGAAAATAAATATTGTGAAGTAGACATTTCGCAGCAATATATTCCTAATCAAACATGACCACGCTCATAGCATATCAATTCCCATTTGATCTACCATGTTTGAAGAGGCCACGTAAGCTATTATGGGAGAGACCACGCACATATACATGCACAAGTTGCTCACAATATGAGTGGATGCTTATTACCTCTGTAGGCGTTTTCGTAGCATGAAACGCAAGTATGCGTCAGTTCCAAAAGGGCTGATTCCCATGTACTTGCACATGTTGACCAACCGTGGCCTAAGAACAGTAGAAAGCCAATAGATTTCATCATAACACCTCACAACTTAAAAATATGGTATGTTAAAATCAAACATAAGTTATGAAATCCACCTGCTGATATTATCCAGAGTAAGTTCATCATTAAACAACTTAGCAAAGCCCAGAATTTCATCATTAGAGACACGGCCACCTCTTCTAACCTGCTCAAAAATATAAATTGGACTAGGGTTATAGAGAAAAGGGAAATATGTGGACAGAATAGCCCATGAATTATTCTTCGAACTGCATTTTTTACCTTGTTCAGAAACTCATCAAGATCTTCTGCTGTTTGCTTTATTTCTCCACTACGTGAGTTTTGAACTTCTTTTGCCATTTCTTTGACCGTGTCTTGGAGGAACTTTGCATACTCTATTCTAGCTTGGAGTCTTCTCTTTAATGCTTCCTACACATTGAGCACGAAAATTGACCAAACACTGTAAAACTGATCATGCAAAATCCAAAGTCATAAAGCCAAAAAACAATAATGTAAACTCCAAATACAGGCGCAAAATATATGTATTGATACAAACTAGTAAAACTCAATATACATATTGTTACTTGTAAACATTATTGCACTTAGGGAAAAAATTTCAAACAGGGTCATCATCATCAGTGGCTACCATTTTTACAGACAATGTGGAGCATATATTGGCAGTGATCATGCAAACTGATAAGCAGAGATGCAGATTGGTGCAATATAGAAGTCAGTAAGAAATATGTCCTCCTAACTATCCTCTACATGTGGTACTTCAAAGCTGTGGCAGTACAGGCCTCAGTTACAGTGGCATGGATAAAGAATTTGTACTTCCATTAGTCATGTATTGAAGAAAAGGTCAAGATAACAAACCAACTTCAACACTGAAATAGGGTTGAGAAAACAATTAGCATACATGGCCAAATATTATCTCATCATATATACTAACTCACGTATTTTGCAATGAGAACTTTGCTACAGGAAACAACAAATCAAGAAACCTCCTTAAAAAATTGCAAAAATCATACAAATGCCATACAGAATTTATTATACCCAGCACTATCAGCACCTGTTCTTTCATTTTGTCTTGAAATGTTGATGGCAACATGTTAGGGAATAACTTCAGAAATACTGGAAGCAAAAATTCCATAAATGGAACTATGATGAAAACTGCAAAGGGAACTAGCCTAAAAATGTCAGCAGTAGTCCTTGTCAGTTGTTGCCTCTCCCTTCTAGAAAGACTCTTCCCACCAGCAAGTTTCAACAACAATCTTGAGCTGATTCTCACATCCGCCCACAACAGCTTGAAACCCAACCAGTAGTGTTGCAACGTTGATACAAACTCCCCTTTCCAATGAACAAGTTTCTTGGCCCAGTCCTCCCTGCAGTACGGATTGACAGATCATATATCTACGTTATCACATATTAACGGATGATAATTATGCTAAAGATGACACATAAAAGAAGGATCCCCACCTGCTCATAGATGCTACAGCTCTAACAGCAGGACCAATCCCCAAAATCACAGACCACAATCGCTTTAAAAAAGTTCGAACAAAGTTTTGAGGCTCTTGTAACCGTTTTGCCTTTGCCTTAGCTTTTACAGTGCTTAAGCCTTCAACAGCTTGATCACACTCCTCTGGAGATGCTTCTTTCCTCTTCTTGGCAGCCATTTCATCACTTTTCTCATCGTCATTACCGAGTTCAGGTTGTTTAGCAGCCGCCGTGGAAAAACTATGCAAGGATTGTGACAAGCATCTGGTGCCTATCGGAGCATTCGACACCAATCTACGATCAGAGGGAACAGATGTTGTTATTTCATAGCATCTTCTTCTATATTGTCCCAGTGCAGAGAGGTTGAAGGATTCTTCTTGAGGCAATGATATTCTTTCATAACCTCTTATGTGCTTGAAATTTGTAGGCGCATTCAAAGAAGAGGTTTGAAGAAGATTTGAATTCAAATTTTCTGCTGCAATCACATGCCACTGAGAATTTACAATAGAACGCGCGCAGCTATTGACATAGTGATCAATAAACCTCCTTCTCTTCAAAATAGCTCTAGAAGCCATTATTCAGGTAAGCTCTCTTCCGAGGGGAAAACACATCTAAATCTGTCAAAGAACCAATCAGTTAAGCTTCTCCAGACGATATTCACCCAGGCGACAATCAGAATAGGAGAAATAGAAAGATGTAAAATGAATCAGAAATCCACTTCATAGAACCAGAAGTTCACGTGCCTTGTTGGTTCATACAAACTAGGGTTCTTGTACTTTGACCGAGAAAATGGAGACTTCGTTCGGTGCACAATGCTCATCCCCAGAACGTCATCGTTTCCTTAGGGAGTGTTTGGTTAGAGCCCCTCTCTTTTTTGCTTAAAAATTTTGAAAGGGAGGTCCCTCTCCTCCCTCTCTTCCCATTTTAGCTCTCCTCTAAATTAGAAGTTTTTAGAAGGGAATTAAATTTTTGAACCATTATACCCTTATGATTTTATCCTAAGTACAAAATAAAAAATATAAATTATTAATTAAAAAATATATTATAATAAAATTAATATAAATTATTATAAAAATAAAAAACATTATTTAAATTAAAAAATTATAATATTATAAACTAATTATTTTTTTATAAATATATTATTTATTAAATATATTTTAAAGCTGAAAAAAGGCATAGCTTAAAGAGAATAAAATTTCAATTTTTTAGAGCATATAAAATTTGTTAATTTGATTATTTCAAATATATTATTATATTAATTAGAATTAAAAAAATACTGTACCAATTTTTTAATGCATGTATTAACATGATAAGACTAAATTTTTATTAAATTATATGATTTAAATTGAGATGTAAATTAATTTATATAATCTATCAATAAAAAAATATACACTAATATGTAAGGGTAAAATAGTAAATTAATTATTATTATCCCTCCCCTCTCCTTCTTGAACCAAACAAGGGATCATTAAATATCCCTCCCTCCCTTTCTTTTTAATCAAACCAAACAAGGTGAGGATTAAACCTCCCCTCCCCTTCTCTACCCCACCCTCCCCGACCCTCCTCTCAAACCAAACAGGCCTTTAGTTGTACGAGCATGGGCTGAACTTGGAAAAATTCACTCAAAAAAAAAAAGAAATTGAAAAAATTACAGTTAATATATTATAATACTCTATTTCAAAATCATTTTTATGTACTACATGCGGTACTTAATATAAGAGCTCATTTAATTTTTATCTTGATCCTAAATATATAAGACCCCAGTCTATTTTGTCTCTTATATTTATTCATTTTTTAATATTGTCCTTGTAATAACATAGTTCTAACTAATATATTTGATTAGCAAGAATATTTTAAAAAAGACAACACTTATTTATTACAAATAACTAACTTAACTAATTCATTAATCTACTCAAATCAGTCAATTAGCTATTATATTAAAAACCGGGATAGCATGTAATAACTTAGGCTAAACCCAACAAATTCTAGAATTAAATTGTATCTAACACTTTAAAATATATTTTGTAATAATACTCAATATTATTAATTAATTTTTAGTGCATTCTATATCTTAAGACATATTTTTTTAGTAGTATTCAGTATCATAAATTTAGGATGGTTAATATATTGAGAAAATATTTTAAGAGTATGATCATACCAAAAATTGCCCTTATTTAAGGCTTATATCTCAGCTGGACTAAGGATTTTAAGAAGGCTTACCTCATTTCAGGTGGTGTGGAGGCTGTTAATCTAGCTATTACAAGATGTGACAATAGCCACCCTTATCAGAATGTGGTGGAGGAAGCAACAATGTTGTTATGCAAAGATTGGCAAATCATCATCGGCCATCGGGAGCGCAAAGAGATGTCCATAGCAGACCATTTAGCAAAAGCTGCGCGCAACTTAGAAGGAAATTACAAAGTGTTTGACCAACCTCCATCTTGTGGATTACAGGGAGGGAGATGGAGGATGATGGAAGTTCCTTTGCTCATTTAAGTCTCTGCGGGTTGTTTCATTGTGTAGGGGTTAGACTTTGTAAGTTTTTCATTCCCAAAAAAAAATATATTGAGTGATACTGACAAAGTAGTAAAAATGATAAAAATGATTTCTCAATTTCAAAATTCACAAACGGTCACTTAAATAAGCAAAATTTTATTTTAGATATAGGTGACCAAATTAATATTTACAAATTTACTGAAATGATCATATTGCCCTTTGTTATTATTTTTCAAAATGTTAAGCACCCTCACTGGCCATCAAGTCACAAGAGCCTTGGTACCAGTGGTGGCTGCAAGACTTCAAGTGGGCCACCATCATCAGAGCTCCGACAGTCGGTTGACAACTTGTCGCCAAAGCTCCAATGACTAGTAACTTTTTTTTTTGGAGGATTTTTATAACTTTAATAATGCAGTTAACAAGTTCTTTAATGCTATTAATAAATTTGATATAGTAGTTAACAATAAATTTTTCAAGAAATTTAAAAAATGACATTTTTACAACTTCAGTAACAAGATTGACAAATTTTATAACACTATTAACAACTTCGATAAAACGGTTAACAACAGGTTTTTTAAAAATTCAAAAAAAAGCATTTTTACAACTTCAATAACGGAGTTAACAAGTCATTAACAACTTTTCTAACGCCATTAACAAAATTTTCCTATGAAAGTTGGCATTTTTAATAGTAACTCCTCATAAAGATTATACATCAAAATTTTGCATTTATCAAGCAATCATTATGGTTGTGAGAATTATTAATATCATTACATGACTTGTTATTAGAGTTGTTAATAGGCATTATGAAAGTTATTAATATCGTTATATGACTTGTTAACCAGGTTATTAAAATAGTGTAAATGTCATTTTTTGAATTTTCCGGAAAACTTGTTGTTAACTAATATATCGAACTTGTTAATAGCATTACAAAACTTGTTAACTGCGTTATTAACATTGTAAAAATGCTACTTTTTGAATTTTTAATTGTTATACCAAACTTGTTAACCATATTACTAAGTTGTAAAAATTTCCCCTTAAAAAAATAGTTACTGACTGTCAAAGCTCCAGTGACTGGTCGTTGACTGGCTCTCAGAGCTCTGGTGACAATGACACACTTGAATTCTGGCGGCTGCCGCCATGAACAAAGCTTCGGCCACTGACAGGCTAATAAGGGTGCTTAGTTTTTTTTTTAAAAAAAATAAAAGACAATTTGGTCATTTCAATAAATTTGTAAATCCCAATTTGGTCACCTATATCTAAACTGGGATTTTATTTATTTAAGTGACCATTTGGGAATTTTGAAATTCATGAATCATTTTTCCAAAAAAATATTTCAGAGTATTTGATACATCAGAGGCTACTTAAGAATACTGAGTACTATTAAAAAATATATTTTGGGTGCTAGATGAAACATAACCTTAAATTCTAATCTAAAATTTTATACCAACTATATCCAAACATTTACTTCAAAAAATCCATCATGCGGAGATACTAATATAAGTTTTAAGCAAACAATGATATTTTAATCTGCTGAAAAAATATTTTGACATGCTTAAGGCAACTAAACTTTAGAATTTATTAAGTTTAGGTTAAGATATTATATATTTGAAGATGGCCTTGAAGTTTAGGAGAACCCCTCCACTTCCGTCCATTTCTTTATTCTTATCATTAGATCAACTTTAAACGGTTGAGATTTAACATTTTATAGAAATGTTATTTTAATATCCAATAGCAAAATATATACATAAATAAACAAATTTAAATGATTAAAATTTGATCTAAATAGTTCACAAATTTATATCTTTATTAAAATATTTTTCATTTTTTATTTTTTATAAGATATTAAATTTCAATAGTTTAAAGTTGATTTAATAATGAGAATAAAGAAGTGGAGAAGTTCTCTTTCATTCTTAAGTATGGGTTCGTGAATTCCAATATCTCTAAAAGATATAATAAGCGTGTGTCTTAGATCAAATTTAAATGTACACAATACATGTATAAAACTAGGTGAGGATTTAACCTTTATACTTTGCACAAAGTCTGAAACACAACTATATAAATAGTGTTGTTTCTTGTATAAGGATATAAGATCAGAATTATTTATCTTAATAATTTATTAGGATATTTTGTACAGTTATTATTATCCAATATTTTCTAATACTTACTTACCATTTCAAATTCAATTTAAATTTTGATTACCATTGTCCTCTATATCGATCAAGGCCAATTTCTTTTTTAAAAATTTCATTACGTTCATTAAAAAAATATTATAAAAGTGTGTGTTTTAATCCATAGGTCTATTTTCTAGTGCAGGAAAAAATAAACCTTAAACTAACATTTTTGTCAATACCTTGGCAACAAAAATGTGAATAATAAGCTCTGCATCTTATGAATATTTTACACTTAATTGAGTGACATGTTAAATTATTATTACTATTATTATTATAAGAACATAAGTTGAGAATAAAATACTCAGGTCAAAAGGAAAAAAAAGAATAAAAAATAAAGATAACTAGGTCGCTAGAGTAATTATGGAACTGGACGAATGTGCTTAAAAGAAATAATTTTTTATTATTCCAAATTACTCCATGAAAATAGTTTTTAATATATGCAATGAAAAGAAATTAAATTCGCAATTCTATACTGAATTTTCTATAATTTAAAATCTTACCTTACAAGGTCCACTTGAAAATAAGGAAAAAATGTCATCATAATTATATGACTTTCTAAACTTTTAAAACTTAGAAAGTCATATAATTAATAACTGATGAATAATAGTCACGATCAAACATCGCTTACCTGGACCTAAAAGATGGTATCGTCCCATTCACTTTAGGTGATATGACCACCACCTGCAATGTATTTTTGTTGACTCCCAAACTATCAACAAGTGCATATATACTTTTACAACAAACTATATCATGCATGTATTTAATCAGGTTTATTGTGAGGATGATATTAAAATATATTACAGTTCAAAATATAAAGCCCTTGAACTTTGCCGTTAAATTGGGATAAAGCACCTGTTTCATAGACTAAAATTTCAATTCAATCATATTTACATAAGCTTAAAAATGTCAGGCGCAGCGAAAAAGCTGCACTAGATATACACATCCAAATGATTAATATTTATGAAAACGAATCCTAGACACAATCACACAAGCACCGGTCATGGAAAGAGAACGATCCAAAATAATATTTCTTTCAAGAGAGAGGCACACAGAAATGTTTATCGTGTTTTCTTAGCTAGTTAAAGG